TTTCCCATACAACTATGGTATGTTATAACTTGTTTACTATACATTGATTATAGGCATTTTCTTCAACATAACTGGATGCTAAAACTGAATTCAAGTCAGACCTCACAAGATATAAGCATTGGCAAGAATAAGTATTGTAGGTTTCACCTGAACAAATTTCCCAAATCCACGGCCCAAAGGAGATCCATGATAGAGAGCAAGGGTTGCACCAGTTAGAAAGCATGAGAACAGTAAAATCGGTCCCATCACCCATCCTAGATTTGTAGGCCAGCAGAAAACATCTCCAACTCCGATGTCAATGTGAGCCCATGCATCAGAAGAACAACGAATAGGGGAAAGTTGAGTCCATGGAATAGCTTTTGGTTCTCCTGGTCAAGACCAATAAATATAATCGAAAATCTTCAAACAAAAGAAGGAAACGAACAGGAAAAAGTACAAAAGAAATGACAAATTTTTCACCTGTGGTTCCGGATGAGAATAGTATGTTAATTGCAGAATCTATTGGTCGATAAGTTGGAGTGTAATATTTTGGTCTGCCACGGATATAATGTAATTAAATACTTTTACAGCAATATTAGACAGTTATGTAAAGCTGATCAACTTGAGAAACTGTACAATTAATATAGGGATACTTTTTTAGGTAATGAGAATGATAAAGAGGTACTTATGAGTACAATATTGATCTAGTAAACTTCTCTCAAGGTGTAATTGTAGACATACCTTGAATGCTGATTGACACAGGCAAGAAAGTCTTTCCATGATAGGTCTTGTTCCCTTAATTGAATGCCTACAGCATTCCCACTCACAGGGAGCACGATAGCTTTACATGGAGAAGCTTCTACAACTCGACTGCATGATAAAGACAAACAGTCATGAATAACAACAGAGGTGATAAACATATCAATACTAGTACCCTACAATTTGCATCTTCAAGAAATTCAGAATTAAAATGAAGGCATTAACAGCTGGTTTGGCCTTCCATTTTCATGGTAAAGCACTCTCATTAAGGCCTACAAAGATGCAACTTAAATGAAAACTTGTATTTGGAACATATAGTTGAATGGAAGGTAGAATTTCTAAGGACGTATTTAAAGCCAGAATGTGTTGAGAAAATCAAGAAAGACAACTTTCTTTGGTGGGGAAAATGAAAGCCAAAGCTTACCAAGAAAGTAATTCATTGATGACCATAACCTCAAAACCTAGTAATTATAACAAAAATTAGGTACTACAGATCCCCCCCCCCCTATAGGCATTTCATACCAAAACAAAGAATATGTTGTAAAATTTAAAGGAGCCTTTGGCTTCCAGAGGCTGTCTCTAGGAACAACAAACCAATGATTCTACATCTACCAGTTGTTTGGGAAAGTAAAAGTAGTACATTATTTAGCCTGTGCAACCAAAACTTAATTTGTGTTACCTGTATAAAGGAAACTTTCGACCTCCTCTTAGTATATAATCCTGAATACAAAGTGAAGGTATTTATCATTTTGAAAATAAAGCAAATAGGAAGTTAGGACTAACATTGAGAGTTTTGCTAAAGTCTCAGAGATAATATGTGATATAAATGCCAATTTATCAAGCATTGATGTTATTCACTGCAATCAACGTGTGCAGGAGTGACCAATTGAAAAAGAGTAAGTTTAGAACTATGAATAGGAAAAGAAATCAGAATGAACAGAATAATTACAACTGACTATATAGTAGACATTGACTACCTACATCTAAGAATAAGAATGAACCATTAGACCGTGTAAGAATAACAGCCAAAAGTAACTTGAAGAATAGCACATCTGTAAAAGCCCATGGATTTAAAAAAAAAAATGGAGGTTTGTCATATGAAGAGGACCAATATATTTCAAAAGATAGTCTATTGGACAAGATAATAACAAGAAATGATGTTGCAGAAAAAATAGGGCAGCTCAGAGTGCTTGACCACACACAATTCTGAGTATATGAAATCATTTGGGAGAAAGCACAGAAAAGTTTTCCAGCAGAAAAATTCTTGGTCCCACCATTCATTTGTGTCAACTACCATATTCAGTGAAGCTTTCATCAACATATGCAATCTTGAAGCTAAACATTCTGGGTGAGATTTTGTTCATATGCTTCGGCACCTTTATATTTTTCATCAAAAGCTAAATAACCTACAGAAATGGAAGAACACCTGAGTGAAGATAGCCTTCGCCTTAGAGACCCGCAAACGTGTTGCAATTTCATTTGCAGCAAAACTATCAGCTATTGATACAACAACAAATCCAGCTAAAACAATTGCCAGGTATATAACAACTGCATTGACTGTCATTGGCATATCAATTGCAATTGCATCACCCTTTTGGAAAGTTGCATCTAGTGCATTTGCCACTAACCTGTAAATTTAAAATCAGAATGAAGATGGTACAACAGGAACAGAGAAAATAACATCATAAGATGAATAAGGGATGTAATGTTTGGAGTTGCAAATAATCCAAAAAGTATGCTGTAGACATGCAGTACTACTCCTTATACCCTCAATTTATGGTAAGGCTTCCTCTAAACCTTAATGCATAATCACCATGGTTATGCAAATTTAGAAAGCTTTAAATATCAAAAGGAGGCCAACATCTTTGAAATACGACCAATCTGGGCACAGGACAGAGGACCACCGAATTACTATGTCCTCGTAAGAGAACATACTAATCACTAATTAATTAACAGGAAACTTCTAAATCATCATTAAAAAATTTCACTTGTACTTAAGATGGCATTTCATGTTTTGATGATACCCACACATAATTGTCCATAACTTCATTATTGTCATTTATATTTCTCTTCTTTAAAAGAACCAAATTATATGAAATTAAGAAATAACACTGAAAAATCAGTAGTAACTTCTCTCTGGCATTTGATTTCAGACATTTTAGTTCCATTTGTATCTATGACATACTCTAACGTAAAATGAAATGTAGGTCTTAAGAACCAGGTACAGCAGGTCAAGTAAATGATAGCATACATTACTTGCTCTCGAAGTTCTTTAAGTGTCATACGGTTCACATTGGAATCATCATTGCCTTCATCTCTCCATACAACTGCAAAACTATCATCCTCTTTTCTGGGATGACTTGAGGGTAATAAGCAACATTCAGCAATATTCAAAACTGAACCAGGAAGCCAAGTTCCCCCAGGTCTTGATCTGTCAGCGGTATCCAGAATGCATTTAGGAGATTCATGAAATATAACTGAAAGCTCTTTTAGAATAATTGACCAATAAACCTGATAATTATTCAAAAAAAGAAAAAAAGGTAATCTTAGAAGACAAGATAAAATTTTGTAAACTTCATAATGCTGCATTGAGCTCTCTATTTGCCTGAAAAATGTCCAAGGGGAAAAACATTAGTTGCTTATTACCTCAGGATGTTGGACAGTGAAATCCCGAAAGAGGTTAAAACTTGCAACGGGATCCTTGTATGAAGTCCCTAAAAGCTTTGGACCATGAATTTCCATTGTTCGTCCCAGGTTCGTACGTTTAGACTCATATCTGGGCACTCAGAAAAGAATGTTTGACTCAGGAAAATGACAAAGTTTGACTGCCTGACATAATTCTTGCAAACTTAGCCAAACAGAAGTACTAAATCATATTCAGGCTCAATTCCTTAAAAACAGATTCAAACCACTTTGTGCATGCAATTCACATATAGTAAGATTCCCTACAGTTATCCATTATGAAATCACTGGAATATTGTTGCTAATTCCAAAATTCTATGTTCAAATGAAACTTTTCTCAAGCCTTGCTAACCCTTTGGTGAGATTAATTAAAAATTTCTTCTAACTCCAATGAATATTCCAAAAAGGTAATTACTATGCTCTCGAAAAGGCTCCATCATATCAGCTAATTCTAAAATTCTACTGACACATTTATGAAGATACAATGGTAAGGCCTCCAATGGTCAAGTTACTGCTGGGGGGAAGGACGAAAGGAAGAGATATAAAAGTGAATGGAATAAGTGAGCCGATGAGAGGAACATTCACATAAGGGGTAAGGCTGACCTTGCATAAGGTAATTGCATGACCAAACCTGATGCGCTCCTTGCTTTATGCATGGTTGATTGGCATGTCTCTACAATGTGTTGTATTAAGGTCAAACAATTGTATGGTGTTTGATATGTAGGACAGAAAAGAAACTGAACATAAAAATTACGATAAAATTCATTCTTTCTATAATAAGGAGGAGTACATGACCCTTAAAGAGTCACATGTCTCTCTCTTTTGGTTTTTCATTCAAACAATTAAGCTTCCACTTCCCCTTCAGCCATAAGCTTCTTTGCTCCTTTTGATTTATTCCAAATAGGAGGGACTGTCCATGAGAGGAGTACTAAATCAGAGTAATTTTTTTTACTTATTTAAACCTTTTTCTAAATTCCTATACATGCAACGGTTTAGATGTCTAGTGTATTTATTAGGGTTGGTCTCTTGAATCTTTATATATATTGCTACTACTATGTGCCCTAGGGGTATAGTTTGGGACATGTTTTGATTGCTTTTGGAGGAGTATGGCTCATATAGGAACTGATTTGATTGCTTAAGAATGAGTATGACTTACAAAGCAAGGAATTCCCACATTAAATGCAAAGGTGTGTCTTACAGAGCAAGATGTTTATCGATTGAAAAGCAAAGGATTCACTGAATTTCATGGCCATGGCCAATTGCCTTATTTGGTTTTCTTTATAAGGGCTTCTATATGCTCGCTGAAGTATGCTTATTGGAGAGTTTATGTGCGATGCTTTTACATACCTTGATGCCTACCGCTTTCTGGTATCTTTTCTTTTCTTGGTTATTTTGTTAGTTTCTTCATGCTCTCTTAGCTGTAATGTTTGTTTAGCTTAGAGCCTTGAATCATTGTTTCATACGCATAGCCCAACACCTGGATATATTTTTCTCCAATGTTCAATGTTAAGGAAAAAAACGATTTTTTTTTTGCCTTTACTAGGCTACAATTAATTTCTGTTCCTTCTCCTGATGTAAAAACACATTTTGTAAACTATATGCCATAAAAGAAACCTATAGAAACAAAATTACATCTGATATATGCATCCGTTAGGCTTCACTCATATGATGTTTTTTGTTTTATAGTTCAATGGTTTTTGCAAAGATATGGCAGATATCTTTGAATAATACCAAAATTAAGAAGGTCTTATATCCATTATATCTGATTAAAGTCATCAATTAGATGAACTTTTCAGATAGAACCTTCATTTCTGATTTCCCAAGTTCATGATTTAGGTAAGAAAAGAGAACAACTGTAATAATATTTCTTTTAATGAGAACAGAATTGAAAAGGAACCTGTCAAAGATTAGCTATTTAATTTTATTAGAGCTTAATGGACATGTAACACTTGTCTCAATTTAGTGATATTCCGGATTGAATTTTGATTTTAATTTTTTTTTGCCAATTCCATGATTCAAATAGAGAAAAGTGTGAGACCATTTCCATGATTGAAAAGTATTTATCAAGTTCAGTGTGTTTTTTACTAGTATTAGACTTTTGTTTAGGGATTTATCCAGAACTCTACTTGCTTTTGAGATTAGCCGTGTTGAGATGCTGCCAAGTGCTCCTTGAGCAGCTGCTCCTTTTGTAATTGTTCAGAACATGCTCTTCTTATGATAGCTTCCATGCCAACAGGAGTCTCCAAATCTCAACGTTGAAGACTCCCCACGGCATTCCAGCTCATCATTAATAAAAACCATCTTTCAAAAAAAAAGTTCAGTGTGTTTTAAAAAATAAATTCTGTTAAGGTGAAACATTTCTTTTTATTATAACTTAATGGACGCATATCTCTCTAGTCTTAAATTAAATGATCTTTTTGCACTTAAGTTTAGTTTTTGTTTTGTGCTAATTTTCATTATTCTTATAGAGAGAAGTTGACAGGATTCATTGAATATGTGCAACATTGAATGAAAATTTCCTTTTAAACATTAATAATTTCTACTCACTCTAACTTCATTATTGATAAGATTATTCTTTTGAGAATTTGTAGTGTGGTAGACTTCTTTGAACAGGAATGAGATTGTAAAGGTATTGTAATATACTGTACCATATTTATTTTCTCAATTTCATTCAGAAGGCTTAACTTTAATTATTTTTTTTCTCATTTTGAATTTATGATTGATATAAATAGTTTGTTGGATTCCCTGATATGGAAACATAAGCAAGAAGGGTTTTTTTGATCATTCATGGAAACAGAAATTCATTTGATATTAACTTTGTAAAATTCATAGAGAAGGGGACTAAGCCTTTAGAGGAACTAGAGGATTTCTTAAAAGGGTAAGCTAAACTGGAAGCCAATTGCCATGGATAAGCCTCTAGAGGAGTGTAAGAACAAATAATGATCCAAGGCATTAAGTTAGACAAAAGTAGAGCTAAAAGAGCATGAAGAAAGTGGCAAATAACAAAAAAAAAAAGAAAAGAATAGAAAGTAGTAGATATGAAAGCATGAAAGAGCATACAAAATAAACTCATCAATAAGTGAAATAAGCAAAAGTCATTGCGCATGGAAAAGCAACTTACAGAAATCTCCTATAAAGAAAATCACAGAACCCAACTCATCATGAAATTCAAAAAGGGAATCCTGAAGTGACTCATTGACATACAATGTGCACATCACTTCTTCTATAGGCCCTAATCATTGCCAATCAATAAAAACGGTACCCCTGAATCTTGTATATTTAATGTGACAATCATTTCCTCTATAAACCATACTCCTCCACAAGCAATCAAAAATGTGTTCCTAGTTAACCCTAACAACACATGGTAGCCGTGTGTATATGAGGATCCAACAAAGCCAACTCAAGAAACGTACTCACAATCTCAACTATTGCTTGCATAAGAATTTAAGAAAAAGTAAAAATAAATCAAACAAAACTTAAACCAATTTAATACTATATTTTTTTAATAAATAGATTAATTTTTACATTCCAAATATTGCAAAAATATTAAAAATAAAAAACCCATTTAGATCTAATATTTAATATATCATGATTGAGTTTTCATTGTTGACTTTTTGTGAATATGACATTTTGTCAGTGTTGTAATTTTTCATTTTTAAGGTAGTAAATAGTTTGATAAAATGTATAATTGTTTTAATTTAATTGTAAATTATGAAATTTTTTTTAAAAAAAAAATCACAATCAAGGAAAGAAAAAGCTAAAAAAAGTGGAACACTGTAAACTTGTGTTAAAAATATATGTTACATATGACATAGACGTTTTTACGTCTCTATTCTTTTTCCCCTTTTTTTCTCTTTCTTTTATATTTTCATGGTTATTTAGAATTAATCAATATTGCTGAAATAATCCATAGTACCTTCCCAACACTCTTGGTAGGATCCAAAATTATTTCATTTAGGAATTTTAAAGAAATTCCTCACTTACAACTTTCCAAAAAAATGTTCCAATTTTTGAGGTTTTCTAAATTACCATTCTCATTATTTAGTTTATTCAACTACATTTTCATTTAATAAATTAAGAAATTTTATTAATAAAAAATTTAAACATAACAGCAAAACAACGAAATAAGCAAGAGACAAAAATGGACTGGCAACCATACTCACGAACAAGAAACAGCCTATTAGACTTGACCCAAGTTTGCAGGGCTAAGACCGATCCGGGTTGGGTCACAGGACCCATCCAAACCCAGCCACGATCGGCCTTATCACGCCGCGGGTTGCTTGCACTATTATAAAATAATGCAACCAAGCGGGCCCTTAACTACCGAAAGGGTCTGACATCCTACCCTTGGCAGCAGCAAAAAGCTAAACCGCCATGGAGGCTACAGCCACCAGAGAAGTAGAGGGTGAAACCAAAAAGGAGAAATATTTAAATATAACATGAATTTCCTATTTGAGATTTAAATCTTACAATTAATATAGATATAGTTTCGTTTCTATAAATTTTGTATTATTTTGTTTTGTTTTATTTATTTGGATGTAATTTTATAAAATATAAATCACATAGGAACCTGTGCAAACAAGTGGAAGTAGGTACTGAGTATAGGTATAAATGCAGGTGATAATAGAAGAGGAGACATTACACAGAAGGGAACCAGTAAATAGGGGGGCCGTGAACGGAGGCATCCCAGCGAGCATAGACGCTGTAGTAGACAAGTTGGTGCAGCGAATGCGGGTGCCACGGCTTCAGCACTCTCCTACGCACCACCTCCCTCCACACCTCTCTTGCATCGCCTCCTGCTTTCTCTATTGCTTCTGTTACAACTCCATGGATCTCTTTCGCCTCCTCTTTGCTTAATCCGCCTGCCTTGCACAAATCTTCTACGCCCACTTCAGCAATGCTCTTGTTTCCCATCATTTCGCCCACCACTCAGTCTCTCTTTTACTCTCTCAAACTTGGCGTAGCGCTGGTTAATTTCTCTTAAATAGAAACCGAGTGTGTAGAGTAGCTGCCCGAGGTAGGTGAGGAAAGTAGGTTGGCACATCGGAGAGAGGCAGTTGAGCGGATTTTATATACATTTTGCACCCATTCTTTATACTAATATTATTAAATTATACAATTATTTAACGCTGAACTTTCTCATTCCTCTTCCTCTCGTCACAATACTTCTTGAATTGGGTAAGAGTGAAAATATTTTAAAATCATATAAATGTAAGTGTGAGTATCCATTTTATTATAATTCAAGATCTCTTCGGATTAAGTCAAGCATACGAGACAAGCCAAATAACCAAACAGATATATAAATGTTTTTTTATCTGCACACTTCTATTTGATTATATATGCTTAAATTTAGATTTAATTAAGTTAAAATTTAAATTTAATCCATCCAAATCAAATTTCTTAACATTATTTTTATTTTGTAAATCTTTTTTAGATAAAGGTTATTAATATATAAATAAATCTCTTACTTTATTTGTAAATATATATTTTTAAATAAGATCTTATTTTATTTATATCTTTTTTTCATAAATAATTTTTACCATCATCTCGAAGTCAAACTCTCATTTTTTAAAATTTCAAAAGGAGTTCAATAATCGGTCTTTGATTTTTTTTATTTTAACAAATCAAGTAAATGACTTAATATCTTTTTAATATTTTTATTCCTTAATAATCAACATTAATATAAATTTTACTATCATATAGTATTTATCATATTTTGTCTTTTAATTTATTAAATTAGATTGAGCATAAAAATATATATAATTTTAGAGTTCTTTTTTTAAACGGACCCCATGTATAAGACGTTTCTGACAATAAACCTCTCTATAATTTTAACTGTTTTTAGCCAAGAGAATTAAAATTTGAACAAAATTACCCTTAATGAAACCGTCCCATTTATTTAGCTCCATGTCTCAACTCGAAACTTATTAACTTATTAACTAGTGAATCTTTGGGTTGTCGACGGGCTATTAGACATAGTTGGGGTCATAGTCTGTGATATACGTGGCAAGGCCATGGGTTGTATATGTGGTTAGGCCACAAGTGATATTCGCGGTTGCGACCGCTTGATTTCTTCGATGTTGGCCAACATCATTGAGACAGCCATGGTTGTGGGGATCCAGTGAAGCAGAGCTCCTAGATGGTATTACGTGGAAGTGAATCCACGGGTGATCGTGATACTTACCTACTCGATAGCCTTGTGAGTTTTCGATGCATACTCTTTTGCATGGTAAAGAGTTGAGATTTCTTTATACCTCCCTTGGTTTGAATGAAAGCTTTTAGAGCTTACTTGACGAACATGAGATGTTTTACGTGGCCGTACATTTTGATTTCTTTACATGCCACATATTTTGGGAG